TGTCCTAATGGAGAGATCGGTAGGTAGAGTGCCGAGGGCGCCTCTGACCAAGCCCAGTTTTCTCCACGTGTCTTGCCCTTACTGGCTGTTTATTTTGGGTGTAAACAGGAGTCCCCCAAGTTCTCGAGCGAGATTTCTCGGTCGGGGACTTGTCTGTTCTTCGGCACCTGCTAGGTTGTCCCACCGTTCGGTAGTTTACCAAGGAGGCACGCTGGGGCCTCGTCCTGGTGCCGATTTGTCCAGGAATCTGGCTAGGAGCCCAAGAGTCGCCATTTCGAGGGTTACCGTTCGGCAGCATTTGGTGCGTGAAAGGGGTTCCGATAGAGGCTTGCCGGTCGTTTGTTAACTTGGGCGAGTTTGATCGCTCGTTAACTTTTTGATGGGACAGAATGACGCTTCGTCTTCTGTACCCAGCGTGCTGTCAGAGATTCCACTCATTGCGCGACACGTGGCGTGTCAAATCACGCGGAGCGGCGCCATTAATGCGTCGTTTGGTTTCTCGAGGCGTACCGTTGGAACCCCAGCCCTATAAATAGGAATGATTTCTGAAGCATTGTTCACTTTGCGTTTGTGAGTGAAGCGGAAGCTCTGTCCAGGCGATTTCTGAAGCGAACAATCGGTAACCAAGGCGATTTCCGGCGAGGTCATCGGTAATCAAGGCGATTTCCACCTCTTCTCAACCAGCTCATACAAGGTACCGTTCGGCAATCCTTCTTTTTATTTTCTTTATTCATGCGTACGTCCTTCCTTGGTTCGAACTAGACTAGAACTTTATGCAAGTGGGGTGTGGTTCGGTAGTCTAGTTGCCATAGGCAGAGGCGTAGGCATCGGTAGGATAGTGCTTCGGCATAGCCCTTTAGCTTTCTTTCCTTGCTTTTGTAGATGTCTGATAGTGAGTTTGGGTTCGAGAGCGAGCCCAACGCCTATGATGGGGAGTCCCCAGACAGAGGAAGGGATACCGAGAGTGAGGAGTCGGGTCCTGATACCGAGAGCAACAGTGGTTCCGACATTGAAGTAGTCGGTGAGAGAGTTAGGTCAGCACCTACTCATGGGATCGGCAAGGGGCTTATGACCAGTCAACCGATGCCGTTGTCGGTAGTGTACAGCGACGGTAGGCAGGTT